CAGAGCAGAGCCGGATGTGGGACTCGATCCCAGGAGCCTGGGATCATGACCTGAGCTGAAGGCAGTTGCTTAACCAACTCAGCCACCCAGGCGCCCCTAAAGCTGATTTTAAAACATACTTTTAAATATTCAGAGTAACTCATAGATGAAGACTTTCCACTTGTAGACCTTGTCCCTGCCCTCAGGGTGTTCATGCCCTGAAGAGGAGGGCCTAATTAAAGAGGGGTTTCTCCAGTGGGTAAGTGTCTTTACAGGCTTTCTTTTTAAATTTCATTTTTCTTTTTATCAAAGCAGTGTAAGTGTGTGTGTGGTTGTTAAAGTCAAAAAGCTCTTCTGTTTATAAAGAAAGATAGAAGCCTCCTGCCTCATCTCTATGCGACCTGAGCCCCATTTCTCAAAAGCAGTTATTTTCAACTCTTCCAAGTTTTGAGTCACTGACTGACTGCTGTGGAAGGGTTTAGTATAATTATACCATCAGCAGCACATTTGTGCTCGTGGGAGCACAAGTACACACACATATCCCCTCCCCCATCTCTCCCATCTCCAGCCAATTATTGGCAATATTGGTATTCCATATTTATGTTACTGTCACTGAATATTGCTCACAGCTGAACAATAAAAAATAATGATGTCGTTCTTCTAGTTGATTTGTGGTTTGGGTATAGAATTCTAGATTGGAACTAATTTTTCTAAAGAGTTTTGAAGACATTGTCCCACTTAATTTTCTCACTTCCAGTATTGACATAAAGAAGTCTGATGTCGGGGACACCTGGGTGGCTCAGTTGGTTAAGCATCTGCCTTTGGCTCAGGTCATGATCCCAGGGTCCTGGGATGGAGTCCCACATCTCCGCTCAGCGGGGAGCCTGCTCCTCCCTCTGCCTGCCGCTCCCCCTGCTTGTGCTCTCTCTCTCACTCTTGCTCATTCTCTCTGTCAAATAAATAAATAAGTAAAATCTTTAAAAAAAAAAGTCTGATGCCATTCTGTTTCTGATTCTTTTTACAACCTGAACTGTCTCTCTTAAAGCCTTTAGGGTGTTCTCTTTGTCTTCAGAGGGCTGAGATTTTACAAAAATGTGGCAGCATGTGGGCTTTTTTTTTTTTATTGGGCTGTTCTCTCATTGGGTCCTTTTGGCTTAAAGGCTCATGTCCTTCAGTTCCACACTATTATCTCTTAATATTTCTTTGATATTTCTCCCTGTCTGTTCTTTCTTCTCTCTGAAACTCCAGTTATTTTGACAGGTTGATATTCTTCTTTTTTCCTTTAGCCTTGTCTGATAGGTTTCCTCAGCTTAATCTGTCAACCTCTTGAACTTCTTATGCTAATGTAGCAAGAACAAGAGCTTTGTCTTGATTCCTTAATGTTCCTTTTTTATGGCATCCTGTTCTTGTTTCATAGGTACAGGAGCTTTGCTCTCTATGGATGTTCATTTTTAAAATTTTCTTCTGGGGTGCCTGGCTGGTTCAGTCAGGAGAGCATGCGACTCTGGATCTTGAGGTCGTGAGTTTGAGCACCATGTTGGGCATGGAGATTACTTAAAAAAATAAAGAATAAACCAGTCACTTAAAAAAAAATAGTAAAAAGGTTTTCTTCTACTTCTTGCATCATCTCTTCCTCAGAGTCTCCTTTTTCTGTTTTTGCTCTGTCCTTCCATGTTAAGGATGGTTTCTTCTTGACAGTTCATTTTTAAGTGTAGGGCACAGAGGCTCATTGGAAGCTGTACTGTGTGCTTGGGGCTTGTTTACTGGTGGGCCTCACTGGTGCTTGAAGACGTTGTCTTGTTGACCCACCCCCCCCCAATGTCAGTATCTGAAGTCTTTCTTCCTGGGCAACTGGCTAATTTCCAAGTAATTTTCTAACTTCCTACCTGCAGAATGTAAGCATTATATGATCAGATTTAAAGACGAGCAGAGGAGATGGGCAAGAGTCTGACACTTTGGTGTGCAGACTTTCATTCCCTCCACTCACAGCGGATGTCCCCAGGTCCAGAGCTTCTGTGGTTCTCTGCTGAGAGAGTAAACCTCTTGTCTTTGATGTGGGTGAGAGGCACACTCTTCCATCAGTCAAGTCTATGAAAGGAGATGGGAGGGCAAGTCTATGAAAGGAGGGGAGCTAAGTGCTCTTATGTAGCCCTTCAGTGAGTCCTCCTGTGTCTCGTCCCTGTTGCCTATATTGGCATTTTGAGGTTTCTCTCACCTTCCCAGGATTCTCATTCTCAGCACGAGTCACCTCAGTGTTTTATTGTGTGCTCCCTGCAGAGTTTAGGTTTCAGCTTTCTCCACTAAGTCAGTTATTCTTCATTTATTTTTTAATGTCCAAATTTTGATTGAGTTCTCTTGCCTGAAGTCTTCTCTTTTGTTAAGCTGTATCCTTTATTGTCATTTTTAGTAGGGTTTCAGGAGAAAGCTAAGATAAAAATGCGTATCCATTGATGAGGTTTGAGGTTCAGGACATACTACCCCAAAATATGACACCTTGGCAGTATTTAGTATCTTAAGCTGAAGGAGTTTGAGAAAATGGCAGAAGCAGGAAGGTCGTTCTCACCGTCTGTTCCCCCCTCCCCTTGCCCTCTTTTCTCAAAGCCGATACTTGATCTCCCACGTGAAAGGTACCCTCCCGGTGTCAGGAGGAGGGGAGACATCCTTATCACCGGAGAGGAAAGCTGTAGAAACAAACCTTGTTACTTTTCCAACATTTATTACTCCCCACTCCCAGCTCAAACTCCTTTGTCTTATCAGTTCTTCACAAATGTCTCAAAAGCTTCCTGCTCTAGTCACTTCTTTGGCTCTTCATTCTCTTCTGAAGGCTCCCATGTACACGTAAAAAGTTAATAGAATTTGTATGCTTTTTCCTGTTTACCTGTTTTTATCAGTGTAATTTTCTTTTTTTTTTTTTAAGATTTTATTTATTTATTTTGAGCGAAAAAGAGACGCAGAGGGAGAGAAACATGGGGCTCAATCCCACAACCCTGAGATCATGAACTGAACTGAAACCAAGAGTCAGACGCTCAACCGACTGAGCCACCCAGGCACCCCTTATCAGTGTAATTTTCAGACCTAGTCAGGGACCCCAGGAGGGTCAGGGTTACCTTTTTCCTCCCTGACCCCATCATGATGAACCAGAACCACAGTGCTTTTTTATTGTACAGAGCTGTTAAAGAGGTTTCTGTAAGGAAGTTATCCCAGCCATGCGGCTTTCCCATAGCAATCTCCTGTAGCAGTTATGGAGGTTGGACACTGACACAGTTGTTGGTGGGTGGTCATTTTGTGTATCCTATATGTCTAGAGATGAATATGAAATAGTTTTTACCACACTGTAAGTAGGTGAAGGCTCGTGCTGCAGTTTGAACTTAGATTACAAAAAGAGGACTGCCATTTAGTGGACAGTGCTGACTGAGCTTCTGGGACAGTGAGACAGATATTTGGAGGAAAGATGTGGTAAAACTCGTGATAGAGTAAAAGCAAATGTTGGAGAAGCGGCAGAAGTTTATTTGCTTGTTGGAGAGAGTAGATCCTGAAGTAGGAGGGTGATGCTGCCCAGGAAAGATGCAGGTATATTTTCTAAAATTATTTTTAATTTGGATAGATATGTACATTTGATATTGGAGGATTTCTATCCCCTTCCTCTAAAGCTACAGTGGAATGATCTGTTCACGTTATAACTTCTTATGTCATAAAAATTCAGAAGTGGAGTTCTTTGGAATTGGGATCCTAGAAATTACCTATTTCACCTTATCCCAGATTAACTCAGTCTACTATTATTCACTTCAATTCCACAAACCTTTATTAAATACTTGCTGTGGGATGGGGGTGCAGGAGAGTGGGAAGGTGAAGAAAGACTAAATTTAGTCCCCGTCTTCCAGGATTTTATAGTCTAATGAGAGAAACTTGAAAACAGCTAACCATGAAGGAGAACAAAGTTACTACAGTCAGGAGGCTATTTGGGGAGCAAAGAGAAAGAAGGTTTATTATGATATGAGAGGGAACTAGGAAAGGCCCTGACGCTGAAGTCAGACCACAACAAATCTCAGTGTTGATGTGACCAAAAAAGCAGGCCAACCCTTGCTTAACTTTCATGTTGAGCAAATAAAGGTTGATGAAATGAAGTGCAATCTTGTTTCCTGAGACTTGGTTCTTTCACATATAAAATAAAGACCGTCATCAAGTTTAAGGGCCAGCATGTCAAGAACTAGGCCCTATAGTCATCGGAGCTACAAAACGATGTAATGTAGGATATGAAAAGTGGGCCTGAAATGCAGACCAGAGAAGGACAAGTTGCAGAAATGAGGACTTGTAGGCCTTCAGCAGAATGTATGGCAGTAAAGAAAGAACTAGCTGATAAAGGTAAAGAAATAATGATGTGTATCAGGAAAGTTACACAGAAGAAAGTAAAAGACTCTTCTACAGAGAATAAGTGGGGTAGTGGGCTAGATTGTGCAGCTAGAATGGAGAAATGAAGAGAGTGATGAAGAGAGAAAGATGTGCCCCAGCCGGCAGGATGGAGCACGCTCTGAAAGCCTAAGCAAGCCGTGAGCATGCTTAAGTTCAAATTTCCCCAAGTAATGTAGATAGTGCATCTCAGCCACAACATTTTTATATTGCTAATTGTGTGGGATTTTACAAATTCTGAATTGAGCTAATTACCGAGTTTGACCATATGCCTTGGTTTTCAGTTCCGACCTGAAAAATATTTTGTTTGAAAAAAGGAAAAAACCAATCAGGATGTCACAACAATCATCTTCACTGAATTAAATGCCATGGAATAATTTAGACTATAGTTTATTTTATAAAATCAGTGTGGAAATGAAATGAGATTGTTGCTGCTACCAAAGTAAAAAATATACTCTACAATATTTAATCAGTATGGTAACTTTTAATTCAGGTGACTATATTTTATCGTCTTTAACAAAGTCTCAAGCTCATCTTTTAGAAGATGACCAATGAGGGAGTAAGGCAAGTGCATAATAAATTTTAACACAACTAATCATTTTTATATTATGCAGTTGGCTGGGGAGCAGACCAGGGAATTGGTGGATTCGGAGAGGAGCCAGGAATTAAATCTCAGCTAACGAACCTTATTCGATCTGTAAGAACGGTGATGAGAGGTAAGAAAAAAAATTAGTGAAACACTCTTTTAAGTTTTAATTTTGTGATTTAAAGTAGCAAAGCTTCTGAGTGTGAATACTATCACACCATTTTTGTAGTGAAGTTTTTTTCTCTTTAACCTGGCTTTACTGTTTAGAAGTTACTGGTTTTCTTAGTTTGCCTCTTACTTCTGTCTAAACCATTTGATGCGAATGGAATGCCCAATGGTATAATCTGTTCACGTGTTACCTCTCAGACTTGAAAGCAGTGTTCTTACCTTTTGGAAATTATGTTGCTTCAAGTAGTAAAGTCATCTAGAGTCCTAGAAGGCTTTTGAAAGAAAAATAAAGGTCCCATATCTACCAGTCTATTGGATATTATTTTAAAGATTTTATTTATTTTTTTGTCAGAGGGAGAGAGCACAAGCAGGGGGAGCAGCAGGCTGGGATCATGACCTGAGCCGAAGGCAGACGCTTAACTGACTGAGCCACCCAGGCGTCCCTATTAGATATTATTTTAGAGCAACTGGAGAAAGAAGGGTTCAAAAGTTTTTATTTAAAACCATTAAAATTAGGGTCTATCTCCCTCTTTCGTTGTTAGGGTTTTTGATCACAACTTTGGATAGAATGGTAAATAAGTTCACTCTTAATTTAGTGGTGAAACTGTGGAATCTTCTTTGCCCTTTATTCCTAATGTCAAGTGTCACAGACAGCCATGTCTCCTTCTGCCTGGGCCTGATGTGCTTCTGTGTTCCCAGCCCTGCACCAGCACCATTCACAGATGTCTTATATTGATTTAGTTGTACCAGTGTGACTCTTAACCCCAGTCACACAAGCCCTCTTTAAAATAAATTTTGGATTTTATGATCCAGTGCATGTTCCTTTGTTACAATGATTTGCAACATGATTATGGATGACATATTGATATTTTCATCCTCCCTGGATGCTAGTAACTATTACTTAGTTTTTTCCTGCTATTTTCTTTATAGTAACAAACTTTTTTTTTTTTCTTTACAGTGCCATTGATAATAATAAACTCAATTGCCATTGTATTACTTTTATTATTTGGGTGAAGAACAGTGGGGGAAATGGAGACTCAGAAGAAGAGATGCCAGCAGAAGTTATTACTTCAGTCATTATTGGAATATACATGTCTTAGCTGGTCATCCTTGCACTTGACAAAAATGTAAACCTGACAATAAAGCCAGAGTCCCTATTTATCTGATTTTTTTAAAAATGTTGCACTTATAGTTTCATTACAGAAAGATTAGATCATCAGAGGCAGTAACTATCCAGGATTGGAATACATTTGATCGCTACCTGTTAATAAAAGTTCATGCTATGATAAAGATTGTTAAAAGGGTACAGGACTGTCACTTGTGTGGTTTTAGAGATTTTTCCGCTCTCACTTCTCAGGGATAAATTTTTTTCAAGGTTTTGAAGTCCTTGTGACTTAGCTATGATGTGAGAGTGATTATCTTCCTACATAAAATTTAAAGGATTTTTAAAAAGTAATTACTACATATAAAATGATAAATTGGTAATTTGGATAATTTTACTTTGAACACTTTATTTTGTCTGTATATCGTTTTGGCCATGACAAATTCAAATTTATAGCAACTATTGAGCAATACTCTCTGACTTCAGGGAGAATTTAATTTTGTAAGTCAGATAGTCACATGATGATTGTGTTTTTAAGTTCTTCACTTGATCTTAGCCAAAAGGCCGAGAAGCGATGTGTTTTTAAGTTCTTTTCATGTGTTTGTTATTTTATTAGTTGGCCTGAATGATATCAGACCACTATCTACATATTTCCATTGGTAGAAAAATCTGTGTAGAAAAGTCTATGCCCTTTTTTACAATAATGACTTATTTCTTAAAATCAGCCTAAATATTAGCCTGCAAGAGCAATCCTAAACAGTCACAATTAAACTATGCTATGTAGGAAGACTATTGTGAAGCATTTACCTCTCCCCCAAATTATCACGTTTCCGTTCTCTGGAGTAGCACATTAAGGGGTATAATTCTTAATTCTTCATTCTGTCTGTCAATAGAGATTCATGTTAGATAAGTTTTTTGTTTTGTTTTTATATTCTTAGACCATTCCATATTTGCTCATTCCATAATACAGTTTTATGCAGGAAGATTAAAATTATGTAAGTGGTTTTCCTAGGAAGTTGTCAGTTATTATAGTTTAAAGGGATAGAGTGGCATCTTTGTTTACAGGAGAACATTTGTAAATAAAGTTAAATTTCCAAGTCAAGCACTTGTTTTTGTACCTTACCTGTCAGTATTAACTGAATTAATCTCATTTCATGTGTGACACTGGTTATATACTTTCTTTGCTGTAAAATCACCTAGCATGATTTAATGAAAGTAAACATTACAGTCACTTTTTTTCCTTCAGTGAGCTAACTGAATTGCTGATTACATCAAGGAGACTCATGAGCAACTTTTATTCCATGATTTAGGTTACTTCTAAAACTTTGGAGCAGGTACTGAATGCCTTTTGGCCATGCCTGAATTAGAGATAGATGATCTTTGGGCCACAGGCTTGCAGCTGAACCAAAAAGATGTGCCAGGGATTCTTAGTTGATTATCTGGCTCATATGAGTAACATATCTGGCACTTAGAAGCAGTGTTCTTTTGGCCTTAACAAAAATCCGATGGATGAGTCGAAGTTTAAGCCACTGAACAGATTCAATACATGCAGTTAATTGAGAGCACTCCCATTTCTCCACAGACCATACAGAATTTTAAAAGGAAAGAAAAGAGAGACCTTGGCCTGATGCCATTTTCTTGTAAAACTTTACAGCACACCTTCATGCTCGTTTAGTGGCAGGATACTGTCCAAGTTCAGACTCCAGTGGAGACCAGTCATAGCAGGGCAGGATCAGAATATTCTGTAGCAAAGTAGTTCTGAGGAAACTGAAGCACTGAATATCAAAATATTTCATCTCTGGAGGCCACTTAACACAATTCTAGCTTCAGTGTGCCTGTAGGGAGGTCGGCAAGCTTTCACAGGTTAGCCCTGATTTCCCCAGAGCAGTTGAAATTCAGTAAGTATAGTACCTTACTTAGTTGGCAGTAACTTCAGTGTCTGTTTGCCTGCCCACATCCTCCCCTTAGCCATTCTCTGCTAACAATTGGTGATCATTCTAGATTCCAAATATCCATGATGTTTATGGTCCTAATGTATGCTGACCCTGTGTCTATATGCCTCTGACCTATCTCATAAAGGATCTTGGCTCATGTGTAGATGTTAACCACATTCATACCCTGATCTTTAGTTAAGTACAGTGGTTTTCAAGTTTTGATTGTTAATGGTAGAACCAGATTCCAAAAGGGATAACACAGAACTGTAATGCTCCAGTATCTGAAACAGATGAGAGCAGTTCACTTATTTCTAGTCGAAGCAGGGATGGGGCCCAAAGGCCCACTGTTCGACCTCCACCCCACTCTTGTCATCATTCCTAAGGTACTTCCACAAAACTCTTAAGTTTTCGAAAACATAGTTTAAAAGAGTATCTTAAAAAAAAAAAAAGAAATCCGTACTTTAGAGTAGGCAATGTGATCTGTGGTCTACAGGTATATGCTATCACTTGAGTGTATATGATATACTCATGAAGTGATTTCAGAGAAAGCAATATATTTGAGTAGTAAAAAAGAGTGGGAGGTGGGGTATTTCTAATATGCCAAGCAAAACCTTTTATCATGACTTAAGACAAACTTCCTAAGACCTCAGTTGTTTACAGTTGCTTCATCTGTAAAACTGGTCCAGAACTATTTCAGAACAGAAATCTGCTCCAGGTGATTTATATATGTATACCTTTTCCAGGTCACTAACCTTTGATTCTAGATGTACCTCAACCAAAGAGATGTTCTCCCAAAGTAAATGTTTTTAGTGAAATAAAGTACTTTCTCAGTGCCTCGTAGTTTCAAAGTTATTACCGATGAATAAAATTTTGATACTAAGCAAAATGGAATTATTTTTTGCTGAAATTTTTCTTGGCCCCTGATTGGTCATTAGATGCCAGATATTATGAAAACATTCTGTGCAAGGACTTTAGACACATAGTGGGCAGTGTCCAAGGGTATTGATCAAGGTGAATTTTGGAATCCTACTGTTTTTGTTTCAGTTCTGACACTGCTTTCTTTACTCTCCCTTTGTGTTTTTGTACCATCTTTCTCTTTTCCAAATTCAGCCCCTCCTTTTTTCTTTTTTGTCAATAATTTTTTTTTCATTATTGAAGTATAGTTGACATACAATGTTACTACTTTCAGGCAACATAGTGATTTGACAGTTGTATACATTATGCACTGCTCATCCCCATAAGTATAGTCACCATCTGTTTAGACATCCTATCCCTTCTTTATTCATCTTGCCCTTTGGCAAGCAAAAACATTTGAGTCTTTTGAGGAGGAAGCCATTAGTCCTGTTCAATCATGCCACATTATAGTGGGTGACACCATCACTTATACTGCCAAACTGCCCAAGCCTAAAACTTAGTAATTACTATCTTGATGCCTTCCTCCCCCTTACCAATTTAATCTGTCAATAATTTCTGACTATTTTACTTCCTAAGATCTCTTCAATTTGCTTTGTTTCCCCACAATTTAGGGCAAGCATCTCTTCTTGTAGCCCTGCAGTAGCTTACCTGGTCTTACATACAAGTTGGCCCCTCTCCCATCCATTCTCCATACTACACCCAGAGTAAGCACTTACGAAAAGGCAAGTCTTAACATTACCCACTTGCTTAAAATCCTTCAGTGCTGTTTTAGTCTGGTCGCAGCTCTTAGGTCTGAAGGGGAAACTAGGAGCAGATTCCTTTTTCTCCAACCACGTATGCCCTCACATAGAAAACATACTTAACAAATATGAATAAAACAAAAACAACCTCCAGGACCAGTGGGGAGGAAAAGTAGAGGGTCACTAGTCCAGAGGAAAGTGTTCTAGCTCACAACATGGCAGACTGCTGCACTGGGCAGAGATGTTGGATGGGTTCTGGCAGCACAAGTCCCAAGGCAAGGAGTTCCGTATGTGCAAACCAGAGTGCGTATCCTATTACGTCAGACTGCTCCAGAAAGTTTTTCATTTAGTCGTTTTCATAGAGAATGCACAGGATGACCACCTGTGCACTCAAGGAGGCAGCCAATGTGGATCAAAGTAGAGACTCCCAGTAGGTGCGTGGGAGGGGAGCAGTGAGGGAGATGGTTCCCCCTACCTCGAGATACTGCTCCCCTAGGGACGGGGAGGCAAGGCCTCTGGTTGCTCTAATGAGAGGCAAGATGGAAGAGTTGACAGCCTAAGCTTTGGGAATAGCTGATCTAGGAAAAGAGGAACCTCGTTGCCTGAGGTAGTGGTTAACACAGCTACAAATGCCAGATGCTGTTTAAGTAGCAAAGCAGAAAATGACTTCAGAGATCGGGTATTTCACGGAAAGTATCAAGGAGATGACTTCCGAGTTACGCCTCGAGAATGGGCATGAAGAGGTGCAGCGACGGAGGGTGGCGGCAAAGGTACTAAATACTTGTTTCACCAATGGTGCTGTAGAAGGGGAAAGAGCTGCTGAGCAAAGGCAGAGGTTTCGTTTACCCTCCTGCATCTGAGGCTAAGCAGGCCGCGCCCTTGAGGGAGCGGGTCTCAAGAACAGCTTCTCCACCTTTAAGGTGCTAAGGAGCAAGACTATAGACTCCAGAGTGGGCGTCCGAAATCCGGAGCTAGGCGTGGCCGGATGGGGCGGAGTTGGATGGGGAGAGGCGGGACTTCCGGTGCGGCCATGGGCCCTGTTTCCGGCGTCTAGCGGCCGCTTGCCTTGCGCCCTGGGCTGTCCTCGAGGACGTTGCGAATGGCGGGGCTGTGCTGACTTTCCTGGTAGCGGGGCTTTTGCTGAGGACGGCGTGCGGAGCAGGGGTGAGGAGCCGCTATGGGACGGGCGACCTCCCACCCGTGCGGAAGCTGCGTTTCTTTGTGAGAGGGCTCGGGGACACTGGTTGCGTCTCTAGGCCACCCCCTCCTGGGCCGCGGACCAACCCGCGCGCGAGCTCCGAGAGGACGGGCCCACCCCTCCGGGCGGGGGCGGCTCCCGCGGCAACTGGGCCACCGCGCATGTGCGGAGTGGGGCTCCAGGGACTTCTTACGGGCCCCGGGGGCGCGGGGCTGGGGCACATTGCGATTCTGGTGTGGTAGACGTTCCTCGGGACCTGCCGCTGGGCTGTATTTCGAAGCTGGTGTCCCTTCCGGTCAATGTTGCCAGGTCCTGGATTTGGTACTGGGGCAGAGTGCAGCGACCAGTCCTGAGGCCCTTTCCCATCCAGGAGATGGAGGAGATCGCCGTTATTAGTGCTCAAAGACCTTTGTTCTTGGAACTCTACCAGTTCCTGAGACCGGGATTCATGAATTGAATTAACTCACAAGCCTATACTGAGCGATCAGTAGTGCAGAGGAAAAGGCAACAACAGCTCCTTTCCTCGTAGAGCTTAACAGTTTGGACCGAGTGATAAGTGGGATAATAGGAGTAAGCTAGGAGCTCCTCGCCCAGCCCTGGACTCAGGAATGCCCGAGGAAAGGATGATAATCTGAGACCTGTGAACTGCAGGAGTTGGCCAGGGAATGGGAGGATGTAGGGGACAGGGGTGGTAGAAGTCAGGGAA